CCGAGCTTGTCAACACAGCGTTGCGAGGGTTTGTCCGCCTATTCATTCAATCAGCATCAGTATCTGGCTTGTGGGAAGAGTAGGTCCTATGTGCGAATAGTCGGGTAACAAGGCAGTGTGAATCGCTCCTGATTGTGTGACACATCACAGACAGGGCGATGATAGGCAAGAATCTAAAGAATATCTTGGCCCATATTTAAAGGCAAGGATGATTACTTACTTGGAGGCTGCGAGCGACACTTTCGACTGCCATCTGCTCGCACAGCTGCTCTGAGCGTTCTTTCCACCATGCCGTACGCTCGCTGGTATCGACTAGATCTGTCGGCTGCACGGGGATGTCAGAAGGCTGAGTCTCTGGATGCATTTCTGGCGGGCTACTGCTGCTGACGCAGGGTTCGTGGTTTTCCATTGCATTTGCGGAGCTCTTGTCCCTTGGCAGGCCCTGTGATGAGATGGATTGGGGATCCAAGCATCCATCAATGCCGTTTGCCCGATTGGTTTGACAGGCCTCGAAGTCATTCACGTTGCTCTCGATGCTTGTTCCTTCGTGAGGTGGAAGTGAGTCAGCCTCGTTATGTCTAGATGGAATTGCAGTCAAAGAAGACGGGTTCAGATCTATGTTTTGAACCTCACTACCCGATTCATTATTGTCAATTGGTCGACCCGACTCAGGGGTGGTGTCAATGACATTGTGCATCGTAATCTTGATGATAGGGCCATTCACAACCTCGTGGCAGTCAGCGTGCTCGAGATGGTCAACATTAGGAGCCCCTTGGGTTGGAATATCCAGGGCATGACCGATTGGATCTTCTGTCGAGTTATCCACGAACCCCTCAAGCCTTTTTTTGTCAGACTCATGGGCCGACTTATTGATGTACTCAGGGCAGTTGTTGGTAGGGCCATCGATAGTCTTTTCCACGGCTTCATTTACTGGTCGGTTAAGCCCTTCGGTGACATCTGTATCGTGGGGTTCACCAAGACACCTTTTGCGAAGCTCACGAGGAGGCTCTTTGGTGGACGCAACTGTTAGTTGATCGATGCGGTTGACTGACACTTCGACAGCCACGTTCACAGAATCCGTCACATCAGTCATCCGCTCGTCAGCAATATCGTGGCTAATCTGAGTAGACTGCGAAGAAGATTTCTCGATACATTGATTTGGATGCCTGTCGCGAGTCTCTTCCACAAGCTTTAGTGTTATATCGCGAGACTCGCAAGCCTGTTCGTTCCAGCAGTAGTTGCCGGATCCGGTCAATTGATCAGTAGGCATGAGCCAGTGGCTCATGAAGCCAGCCTCAGCAGACGGAGATTTTTCCAGCGTAGACAGTGGCAGACAGGCTGTGAACGAGGTTCCAATCAATGCCCCATTCTCGCCCTGGAGATAGGATGGACCCCCCGAGCCAGCGTTACGTTCGTCGAAATCTTTCGCCTTGCAAACTACTGGCGTCCATGACCCGCCGCCAAGGCCGGGAAAGACTGCCTTTCGGGTGCTCAACGGTATTACTTGTCGTGGGCACTGACAGGTATCTTGGCCGAGATTATAGAGAAGTCCACCCGTAATCGGACACTTAGCTCGGTGCAGAGTGACTAAGTAGTGGATTTGCGTGCCACACAGCTCCACAAAGTCTAGGCCGTGACCTGTAGTGAAGAATACCGTCGGTCCGTCGACTGTTTGCTGCAGCCGGATCAAGCGTGGCATCTCGCGCAACTTCTGGTGAGCCTTCCGCATCATATTGCGCACAGCAGCGTCCGGAAAGAATGCACCTTTGGTAATTGAGCTGTGAATGATAGTGATGGCTCGTTGGTAAACTTCTTCTGCGTTTTGCAGCCCGACCAAAGCGCCCTCATCGGTAAAAGACTTGCCGCTGGCCTCTCCGCTTGGAGTTTGAAGCCATCTTTCGTGAATGTATAGGAGATCGCTGTCGAGACGGTACGCCACGTCGACCACTTGCGCCTGGCTGCGAACAAAGACTACCTGAGTACGTGCCGTGCTTGCATGCAGTGCAAGTAGACCGCGAAGCGTCTGCGCTACACCTTGAGCCTCCGCCGTCTGAGGCACCTCTACTGCTTCCGAAAATTGCAGGCGGTGGCGAAGCTCCTCCACTGGACCCCAGAGCAGGCCATGCTTGTGAAGAATATCCCACAGTATATCGGGCAATGCACGCGGCTCTTTGTTCAGGTCCGAGCGAATGAGAAGCGATTCCTGCGGACATGTGTTCGTTAGCTGCGATTGTCTACACATGGCAGAGCCCGGATATCCCCGCAACGCGGCAACTTACCGCATGTAGTCGAGATTGGCGACAGTAGAAAATGTTTCCTCCTCGTGCGTCCCGCTGCAAGAGACCCCACAGCTTCCGGGCAGTCACGTCTGTCACCTGATGTTTCGCTCCTTGCACATCTGCAGGTAACGGATGAGTGAGAAAAAGCTCGAGGTATCGAGGCAGAACCTGAGCTTCATCCTCGTTAATCGCTTCCTGCCAGATGGAGTGAATGCATTCCCGAGCCTGGATTGGGTTCACCAGGCGCTGGCGATCTCGATCCACGCTTCCGTGAACGAGAACATAGCCGCAGCGGAAGGGTTGAGGGTCGAGGCTCCGTTGGCTGACACGGATTCCTTTGAGGAATACATGATCCTGATACTCCGGATTTAGCAATAAATCTCCCTTGGCCGTTCGGATCCGATTCAATGATGGATGTAGGTCCACCGTGCAATCCACCCAGGCGCGAAAATCGGCGAACGACAAGCGCTGTCCTTTGGTCCCCCTTTCAATCGTCACGCAGACATCATTCCAGATGTTGGTACTCAGCCGCGGAGGTTCTGCGCCAGCATCAACGGGCAGCGTCTCGCGCTTCGCTTTTGATGGAGCGATGCGGCAGTAAAAGTTCGTCTTGTTGCGACCATTGAAGTTAAAAGTCCAGTGGCAGCCGTTGGTGGATATCTTGATATAGTGATTCTGGCGGCTGAGGACGAGGGCAGCGAGCTTGAGACCCTCCCCGTGGCCTCCAGCCAGTCGACTGTCGTTGCCTTTCTTGGTACTGTGACCGAGTTCCAGGCAGTCTTCATGTAGAGTGGTCCCCAGGGTGGCAAATTCGATCCTCCCGTGGATCACATTGAAACGTATGTAGCCGAGCACCGACGAATGACCAGCGGCAACGGAGCCGCTTGCAGGGCAATTGACAACGTACGTGATCTCACTCTGGTCCCCGGTGATTGAGTGTTTCGGCTGGAAGTCCATTAGACTAATCTGGGGATGTATCTGTAGGATGGCATCCTTCCTATGATGACGGGTTAGCCCTCTCTATGCAGAGTACTACCACACTAATAATGAAAGACACACCAGTTTTGGTATAGCTCGCGCAGAGCATCTGGGACTTGCCAGTCGGATGCATAGCCGCGGGTGAGGCCGAGGGCAATGGTCCGTGGCCCGGCAGGTGCAGCAAGGTCTGCCTCTTGAACAGTGTCGGGGAAATGATCCGGTAGGCCATTGCTGGGCCTAATTGGTTGAAGATGACTGGCCTCCATAGTGAGAGCACGCTTCAAGGTCGTTTGGGATGGGATATTGTATAGCTATTTGATTGTTATCGTCTGCTGGCGATGGCAGTTCATGCGCCGCAGACGTCTTTTAAGATATCCAACTCTCTCCTACGAGTTTGCGATGCGCTACGAAACTACAGATCGGTGCAGCCAGGAACAAAAGGACGGCCGAAAATATCGAAGGACTGTCTCTATATGACTGTATGTGGTGATATTTCTCGTTGCACGTCTCCCTGTTCTGGTTCAAATGCTAGATGCACCATGCCTACTTTCCCTCTTGAATCATGGCTTGTAGTCGAGTTGGCTTACAGTGCTTCAACGCTTGCGCCACACGGAATCGTGTAGCAGTGTTGAGCATTCTGCAGCCAGGTTAAAAGGCCCGCTCATTTCGGCGGCCCTCTGCAGACCGGAAACGAGTACTCGTTTTAGTATGGGAGACAGGACAGCGTGATGCCAGCCTAGACTAACCGAAGTTGTCCACGAAAGTCCGTCCAGCATGAACAAGTAATGCGAGTTTACGCCTGGCCAGGCTTTCTGTTCAAAGCATTTATTATTTAAGAAGTCCATTGGAGATAAACTCATCGGATACGACAGCCTGCGCTCCTTTTCGCTCGATACCGGTACAAGAAATTTCTGCTACGCATCCGTTGCCTAACCCGAGCTGCGCGTGACGGTCGGACACATTTGTTCTGCTTGCGCTCCTCTTTATACCGTCGGTTGTCTTCACTCACGCAAATGGGTGACCCATCCGCAGCGACACCTCTGAGACCGCGGTCCCTTTCATCGGGCGAGGTAAGTCAGCAATACCCCCGCGCAGACTCGGAGCCCTGACGCGCGACAGGAGACGCTTCGCCCATGCTCTAGTCTGTCGGCAACATCCCAGGAGATCCTCGAAGCCTGCGAACGTTGGGCTACTGAACTACGCGCCACGAAACAGGATCTTCAGCATGCCCAGGATGAGTTGACTTCTGCAAAGGGAGTCTCTGACATCCTCTTCAACCTGGTTGAGAAAATGTGGGCTCTCCTCTGCGCTTGTCGCAATGGCAACGACGAGAAACTGTCACAGAGCACTCTCGCGGTGCTTTTAGACGCTGCAATTGGGCATTTGGACGTTCAAAGCCTGCGGGAGGCATATGAAAAACTACGCCGCGAAAATCAGCAGCTACGTAGCCTACTGGCGGCAGCCCCGGGCTAAGCAGAGCCATGTTGAGGCGAAGGGGGGAGGGGGGGGGGCTCGAGCATGAAGTTTAGCCTCCAATCATCTTTCTACTTCCACCAAGACATAGAAGTGGCCTGTTTTCTGGTGATTGAAGCCTAATGATATCTAGTAGTTCAACATTGATCACCTTTCCAAATGTGATTCTATGCTAGTCCTCATAGTACTATATTTACGTGGCGTAAGTCATTTCAATCCATTGTAGATCAAACAGATAATGTGACTGACAACATGAGGACTGTTATTACGCATAATCAACGCGAGGGAACAACTGCTGTTAACGGTCAAATCTTGTGACGGTTATAAAGAACGGTCTCACACAGCCTCTATTCTTCCTTGAGGGTCGATGCAGGTGGTTGGAAATACGGACGGTGCTGGGAAAGGAGCTGCTCATCCAGTCCCTTTTCACCAAAGATGGCACCATTACCTGACCACCAACCGCTGGCCGAAGTCGTCTCAATGAGGGCGGGACTTTCGAGCAGGCTGACATGATTGAC